AATTGTGGACATCCTACATATATTGTAAATACAGTAAAAATCGAATATCTCCTTCTAGACACGCCAACAGCCGCTAATATTTTAATCTTATTAGTTTGGCGATGAGAGCTTTCATTTGACCCGAATATGTGTCATTTTCTCAACGAACAACGATACAAACACCTCCATTGTGAGTACAAAGATTTCATTAGATCCACATAAGATTATAGGAGCGCTGATATGACAACTGACAGACAGTTGCAAAAGAATGAAGGGAGAAACAGCGAGATTTTAGCACGTTATCGTACCACAATTGTCCTCCACTCGTACTTCAGAGTAGCGAAGTCTCGCTTTTTCTCCTTTAGAAAAACTGCTTAATGAAATCACTTTTTGAAAACTTGTATTTGTCAATAAAATCCTCTGTATATAATTTCACAAAACAAGAGCAGTTATTTAAACCGATGAAAAACGACAATTTTGTGAAGAACTAAGTTGAGAAATATTGTTATATAGAACTCTCAAACCGAAGATCATTTTCGCCTGAGTTAAAAAACTGCGACTCCGTACAATTAGAGACAGCTGAAGAGCAGATGTTTTTAATCCAGAAATCCTTACACGATTATACAACACGTGTACATCTTCATGTAATTTTTCAAGGCTTTTCACTCATTTTTATGACAAAGCAGTTTCCTGTAAAAGCAAAAATTATACAGGTATAACTTCGATAAGGTTAAAGTTGAACCATTGGCAGCTGAGGGCTGGAACTCTAGTGAGATTCTGGAAATGTGGAGGAAGAGAAGACTCACATGCCCGTTAGAGTTGTAACTGGTAATGGTAAAAAGCCGTTCTGGTCCTGTCTGCTAAAGAATACTTGACTGATCAGTCTAATTGTTTTTTTGAGTTTGCCCATGCTTTTTTCCAAAAAATTGATCACGAAAATATTGTTTTTCGTAACTGAAACACTTTTTACTGTAGGCGAAGCCTATTTCTATAAAAAAAAACGTAAGTCAGACGATCGTATTGTTCCAAAATTCATCATGATATACTTAAGGTTATTTACAGGATCCCTTTGGTGTCACATTATGTTATCGAAATAAGATTCAATAGTTGTTTAGCAGTGTAGTTTATCATAGACTTCTTTGTATTTCGCTATTTTTTACAGCATATACTTCACAGAACTATAAGAGATAATAAGGCAAACATAAATTTGGGAAGTAGATTTTGCAGCCAATGAATTATATCTGTGTCCGACGACGGTGTGGGTGTACTAGATTGGAAATAATATTTTGCCAAGGAAGGGTGGGGGAGAGGTACCGCTATAATTTCGAATAGAGTAAATAATGAATTTTATACAAAATGAAAGCTCGTCAAAATTTAGAAAATTTCACTGATTGCAAGTGTGAGAAAAGTTACTAATGAGATAATGTTGGAACTAAATGTGATATAAAATTCTTTATTTTTTCATTGTTTAATGAATATAATCAATAATCAGCATGATAATCGTTAGCGTACTTTACTGCGCGCAGTCAGAGTGGATACGAACATAGAAGAGTTTCAACTACATTAGTGTCGGTTTCCATATTTGTCAAAACATCTGAAATGTGCATTTTGAGTGTTTTTTCAAGATAATGAGAATATCCAGTTTCGGATAACATCTTTTTTTCCAACTTCATCCTTGAATATTGTTCCAATATATTTCGCTGCATTCAGATCGGGTGAATTTCCAGGGCAAATATCATTATCTCAAAACTTAATGTCGTTGTCTTGAAGCAAATTTTGGGCCTAATTTACTCATATATATGGTGCTTTATTATAGACAAATATAACTTCATTGAGATCGGTGACATTTTCTTCATTTTTTAAGAATAGAAATACGTTGTTAGTTAAAATTATATCACGAAAATATTGACTAGTCTAAGATTCGCCTCTATCTTTGGCCACCCATTGTAACCTCTTAAGAGTAAATATAAAAAAATCCCAATACATGCTTGATTTTTAACCGTTTCACGATAACGTTCATCTTCTTCAATATCATCGATACTTTTTACTCAAATTCGGCCGTTCTGATAAGTTGGTTGATGAATAACTCAGACAAAAAATTCATCAAGTGGTGCGAGATGAAGAAAATCCTCTTCAGGCCAATGTTTTAACCAATCGCACCCCCATAATCGATCCGACATATGAGTTTCCGATTTTAACGATTTTAGAATAACATGGAACGGCTTTAAATCTTCTCGATAATGGTAGTTATTGATCGTTCTTGGAACAACGTACTATTTTTTGCTTTTCTACAATTTCCTTCGTCACAACAGAACAACTTTTTCTTTACCGACCACTCACTTTAATGATGATGTCTTGACTTGCTTGTAATAATTTAAGCTTAGGACCAGCATTTGAGTAATCAGTAAAACAATGGTCATATAGTTTTTCCCACCAGTCTGTAACAAATTGAATCGAGCGATGAACTTTCTTCGCGATCCCATGTCGATTAATAAATGTTGCACCAGCATGTCGAGCTTCATGAAAAGCGATGCATTTAATTTTGTCAATAATTCTCTGCTCCTCAGTATCATAAGTGTTAGTCATTTTAAAATAATTAGATTTAATTGATTCAGCAAAAGAATAGATTTTTTTATGAAAGATGTTGATCAGAAAATGATCTTGTATATATTGTTTCATAAACTTTTTGAACATTCTTGTTCTATAACTTTCTAAGAAAAGAAAAATGAGAAAATCTTTTTTATTCACCGTACCACGAGGTACAGACAACAGAACACAAAACGACAATCACACCTTCTAAATCATAGTTAGGCTTATTGTTTAGTATCAATAAATCTCATTTTTGACGGGCTTTCGTTTAGTATAAAATTCATTATTTACTCTATTTGAAATTATAGTGATCCTTCTATGGCAAAATATTATTTCCAACCTAGTACACTGACACCAGCACTCATTATCACATCTACAACCTTATTTTGCCTTGTACTAGTTTTTTGTTGCCATCACTCGATTATTTATCCGAGCTTTGAAGCAAATCCTCCTCTGCTGAAACACTTTTCTTTATTCATCATTCAAAAGAGGAATAGTGCTAGGATAAACAGCCATATCCACACTTTAAGGTATTTTTTTTCGAAGAATTGTGTTATGGTAATCAAAGAAATAGAAACATTGAAGAACTAACTATTTCAACTAACTAAATCAAAATTTGCCAAACACATACATAAAATCTTCTTTATATGGTGATCATTCTTGAACAAAATAAAATTTATTCACAGATGCGGAATGTTTCGTTATCGACGTATATACGGAAACTTTCACTGTGTAACAGCTTCATCTGCTTTCCATTATGCATCTACCTCTGACGGCTGAATCATTGTGCTTTATATCTATTGCACTTAGATCGAAAGTAGATTTCTTTTCTGTTCTCAGACCGATCAACTATGAAAATACGTCGTCACTGTCGAAGTTACTATAGAAGATGCAGATTTATTGCTGCTCTGACACTTAGTGCTAGCATTTCAACGATCGCTCTTATTTCGATATTCTCTCATATTTCCATTGCGCGATCTGGCGAGCCAATCAAAGTGTTCATCGTCGACGAAGATGATCTGTATGATGCGAAAATCAAACCCACTTCCAATCTTAATCTTCTACGCGAAGACTACTTCAATACAAGTCACTTAAGTTGTCGCTATCCTACATTGGCAATCGATAATCCAGAAATTTGGAAACATCTCCACCCAGTTTCTCAATCGCAACCTGACTGTGAAAAAAATAACAATTGGGTCTATGTCGACAATGGTTAGTGAATAACGTATTGCTTTCGTGCATATAATCTTGAGTGTTGTCAAGCAATGGCAACATAGATGATGATTACAGAACGTTGAATCTCATTTGGATATCTATTTAGGCACCTTTCGGCTATCACAACAAGCTCTACAGAAACATGGCCCAATTGTGTGTGCTTATCGTCCCATTCTCCGATCGAAAGACGATTTCTCGACCATGGAAGGTGCTCGGCTATTTCCGGTTGTCGACAAAATGCATCTGGTGTCCGATTTCTTCCGTGCCGATTGTCAAGCAAAAGATGGCAGCTCCTATTCGAACGTTCACATGGGGATCAGGTTCGATCCACTGTTGCATGCGAGGTGAGTAGATGTGTCTCAGATTCTCTAGATATACAATGTTCTATTGTAGGAGTATACAGAATGCAATGGTGAAGACTCATCTCGGATACAATATTTTGATGTTTGGTTTCGATTCGGTGTCCCGTATGACTTTCATGCGATTTTTGCCGAAAAGTTACTCATTTCTAATCAAAGAACTCGGTGCTATTGTTATGAAAGGTCAGTTCTTTACGAAGATTTGTCAAAGTAGATCAATTCGTACAGTGTGATGATTCGTAGGATACAATATTGTCGGTGATGGTACACCAGCAGCACTTCTTCCCATTCTGACAGGATATGGTGAAGCAGAATTACCGGAATCAAGACGAGGCCACGTAGGAGCTGAAACTGTCGATCGATTTCCTTGGATTTGGAACCAATTTAGAGGTAAGATCATAGATGTCTCCAGACTTTTTCCAGTTCAACTGTGTGCGAGTCATAAAAATTTCATGACATTTTCCATGCAACAGAGTGACTACGTATTTGAAATAAAATAATCTTGGTGGTTTGTTGAGCACTCACAAGATATAGTACTCTCCCATCTCTTGAAAACGTTGTGTTTAAAAAGTAAGGCTGTTGGATAGTGACAAGTTCCATGCGATGACCATCTTCCTTGATTTTCGTCGGTGTAAATCAATATACAATCAAGTTTTAAAGCTGATCATATCTTAGACTAGATAGATTTCGGCTTTTGTCTGTATGTTAGAATAGTAAATCTTCCTCTGTTCCCTCCTAATGTTGGTTCAACATGCTCTTACGATCATTCATGGACCAATCATTTCTACTTGCTCGACTACGTCGATTAGATTCGTTTCAGCACCAGCATATCCAATTTCTGTTTCATAAAGAACTTTTCTTCTTCGAATCAGACCAACACAGTGTAGCTTTAGCTAGAATTCATACGTGCCTAACCTATCAAGCAGCAGAATCATGAGTTGACTGTCAGAGCATTTTGTAATGATGAGCGTTAAGATGGCTTCTGGGGTATTCTTCAGGTAAACAGGTCTTAAGTAGCGTGAAATTACGGTTTTGAAAAACGATACTCAATTATTTCATACAATTATGTCAAGTTTTTTACCATTAAAAAGAAAAATCATGACGTTGTTTAAATGATACTCAACGCCTCAATCAGAAGGGTCTACTGTATGAAGATTCTAGGTAAACGCTTTCTCCCAAGAAACAAGATGCGAACGGATCTTCGACAATAGCGTAGTTCGCCGATCTATATAAAGTAAATTTCTCGACACGCGTGCTCAGATTGGTCGTAAGAAATCTTTTTTGCATGAATAAAGGATCGTAAACTACTATTATCGATGCTGAACATCCAAGTCGAAAATACTGAGATGTCATCCCAATGGCCTAGGAGATAGTTGATTTCATCAGAATAAAAATTCTATCCAACGATCGATAAGCCAAGTAGCTACAATACTTTTCAATAGTTTATATTCTCTTTTTCGTACAGATAATGGTTATGTGACTCAATGGGCCGAAGATATGCAGTACGTCGGCACATTCCAATATCGTCTGAAAGGCTTTCGTGATCCGCCAGTAGATCATTACGGTCGTCCATTCTATCTGTTCGCCGAACCCATGAAAACGTCGAAGCCGCTTTGTTTTGGTTCTATTACTCGTCTTCAGGCGATGTTTACTTGAATTCGCGATTTCTTCGACATGTATCCTCATCAGCCGAAATTTTCCTATCTTTTTCATTCCCATTATTCGCACAATTCTAATGCTCTTTTACCTTATGCCGACAATGAACTCTTAGCTTTTCTTCAAATGATGCAAACACATGGTTATCTCGATCATACAATGCTCATTATCATGACTGATCATGGTGCTCGGTTCTCAACATTACGAAATAGTTATCAGGGTAAATTGGAAGAACGTTTGCCTTTCATGTCCATTCGAATGCCGTCCCAATTTCAAGCTCAATATCCGACAGTCATGAGAAATCTACGCTATAACTCACATCGATTGACGACGCCATTCGATCTTCACGAAACATTCGAACATTTTTTCAAGTTTCATTCACTCTCTCCTTATCAATCGGAATCGAATCGTTCGTTCAGTTTATTCGAGTTGGTACCCGAAAACCGAACTTGTGCACAAGCCGATGTCGACCAACATTGGTGTGCATGCCTTGACTGGCACGATATATCAGTCAATGAGCCGATCATTCAGCAGTTTGGTCGAGCTGTCGTTGATTTTCTGAACAAGTTCGTGTCAGATCATAAACATGACTGCGCTACACTGGCTCTATTTCGAGTGGACAAAGCAAGTCTATTCGAAGCCAACGATCGTCTCCTGAAGTTTGTCCAATCAAGTGATAAAGACGGTCGAGTTCCGCGATTTCAGAAAGACTCATCACAATCGTCGAATGAAACGAGATTCTATCAGATTCAGTTCGAAACGATGCCTGGTCAAGGTCAATTTGAAGTGACGGCCGAATACAACCCGAGGAGAAAAACATTCGATATTCAAAAACGACATCTCAGTCGGATAAACAAATACGGTACAACGTCGGCTTGTATTGCATGGAAACGACCAGAATTTCGAGAAATTTGTTACTGTTCTGATTTATTGGTTCGCACAAATGTTTCTAGTACTGCTGCTGTTATGAATGATGAAACAAAGATAAAGATAAGAAACACGGCTGTGAATGGCAGCAGTGTTCGTCCCTAAAGATCGAATGGGATTGTGTTGGTCGAGAACACAACGCGAAAGATCCAAAACTTAAAAGATAGTTGAGCGTTAGTGCATTGAGAACGATTCATGATTACTTTGTTTCCTTTCTCAGTCCTATCAACATAGGAATAAAATTTTCTTCCTGGCTAAGTAAAGAAGAATCAAAGCGACATTGGTGATATGAAATATACTGAGTTGTTAGATGATTCATCGAGCATAGGGTTCTATATTTAAGAAAAACTTTCTTGATTCTATTTTCATGAAAATGGAATATTCATTCAATGAAAAAAAGAATAATACATTTTTTTAAAATTTATCTTCTCGAATTCATTTACGAAAACACATTAAGTATTGTACTGATCTAATCGATCACTTTGAAAGCGATGACTTGCTTTTCATCAATTGTTTTGAGCACAGTGGTCTTGATCTGACCCTTACCTTCGTTAGCTTCATCTTTCATGCGTTGAATCAGCTCCGAACTCGTATACAAAGGCATGTCATTCCGAATGTCGCAAATTGTTTCATCGAACAACCTCGCATAGCTATTTTTTTGGATATACGGTGGGTGGGTGTGAATGTGGGTATGAGTGAACTCTTCTTGTCACCCACACCTATACTCACACTCCATACTCTTCCCAAACTTATTTACTAATAAAATCTATCAATGGCAAGACAGATGTGTGTATCCTATGATTAATTGATTTTGATTTTTTAAGCGAGATATCGAGTCAATCTGGTGGAAAAAACCCTTCTTGAATATTGTTCAATCGATTTTTCGTCTAGAGAAAACGAACTCGTATTTAACCATTTTTCATAGATGAAATTTGGACTTCAACGATCCTATGTCGAAAGTGTGATGAGAGTGTTTAGTTCTCGGCATCTAACTTGGTTAGTATTCAAAAATTTTCTATGTTGTCGAATCATCGATATTCAATCAAAAATAGAGTCGAACAAAGAATAACATGATATACTAGTTTTCTATCTCAAGATGCAGTGCTATTCTTGCAGAAAAGGTGCAGGTTGGCAAATCGTAACCTGTACAAGGCTCTTCAGCACATGCATGTGTAGTTCGCCTATGCATAGACAATCAACTAGACGAAGATAAAATTCAAATGCAAGTTGTCTGATCATCTTACACAAAAAGTGTGACACTCACTACTACGTATGGCAGCTAAAAATAGTGTATGCCAATATTTACCTCAAGATAGTGCAAAAGATGTCGACATTCGTGCATTGAGACTGAAGAGCTTTATTTACTGGTAATATCAAGTTTCGATTTCGTTAAATAAAGATATCGAATCGAAATGAAAATATAGTAGAAGAGGAAGGCATCATCACATGTTAACCACATTTTTCGCTGCTTTCATATCGAAGAAGGTGACGAATATCGTGCGACCAATAATAAATCAGTATTTTTCAAGACTAACAGCGTACTATAAATTGCACTTTCTATTTTTATTTTAACATCAACCTCAAAGCCTCCGTCTGTCATGCATCAACACAATCGTATTGCTGTTGTAATTGTATGGTTTGTTGGTTACAGCATTATGACTGTACAAGCCTGTTCTGTTCTGAAGTTAACAACGCCTGAAGAATTAGTCTCTAAAGCTTACGTAATTATTCGAGCAAAAGCTGTCAACTATGAAAAACTTCCTGAAGAACCAAATGTATGAACAACTGGAATTCCTGATTCAATCATTAAATTCGAATTGGAAGAGTTGATCAAAGGCAACAAATCAGTTCCTATTCCACTTTTGATTAATGGATATTTGAGCCAATACAACGATTTCAATGATCACTCCCCACCATACAAGTTTGTTCGGCCGGGTGGACGCCGGGGAAGTTGTATTGCGAATACATACAAACAAAATGCTGAGTTTTTGTTATTTTTAAACGACAAATTTACACCATATTGGGACGCATTAACACCTGTTAATGAACAACTCCATTCGCCGTCATCTACCGACCAGTGGCTACAATGGGTCAAAAACCAAGTTGCTTTAAGCACAGGAAGCAGACGTCGCCCTTTTTTCTATTAAAGGAAGACAAGTCCAAATAGCTAAAGATTCAATCGCTTAAAATTTAAATGACATTTTTTTCTCGTACCTTTTAAATGTATTGTATTGTCTTTCGTTCTCTCTGAATTTTGTATGGATCGATATGTATGAGTTGAAGGTCATGCTGTTCACTTGGGCATTTTATGCATAAATGCTACATAGTCAGTCGAAAAATTGAAATAAATATGTTTGTAACAGCTGCTGTTAACGAATCATCCCTTCTCAAGTAAGGGTGTGGGTGTGGAAGGAAACAATACCTGCATCCACACTGAAATTTCATCGACAAATCAGATAGGACCTCGCCAAAAAATGCTTATAACTCTCAAACAAAGAAAGGTAAAAATCTGGACCTTGCGTACTTTTTCAGGCCTTCAATCAGTGTTTTTGATGCACTCCTGAAAATTAATTGTGTTGACTTGACGAGGTATAGTAGTTTTGAAAACGCTTAAATTTAAACCTTAGAAAAACCTTTCGAAAAAAGCTCTAAATAGGTGGTTCGATGTAACTGGATGTGAGCTTTCCAATGGTAAAAATCGCAGGTCCGTGGCTATTTTCTATCGAGAGTTATTAGGAAAATACCCGTTGCTCTTCTATTTTGAAATGGATAATCATCACTACTGCCCGGTAAGTTAAAGCAAAACCAAAAACAATCAGCTATTTATCGTTTATTGATGAGAATGTGTTATGGTGCAGTTGTATGGTATTGTTTTTAATGCTCTTTTATTTACCTAACGAACTTTTTTGGTAATACCGACTGGTACTACAATAGTAATCAGAAGTAAGTTCTCTATTAAAACTGCTAGAAATGGTATCTTTAGAATGTGCTTTAGTTTTCAGAAAACAGAAAATAGCATACAAGTTCGCATTAAAAATACAAACAGTGCCAGTAGAATTCTGACAAAATTATTTAATGTTCTATTCTTATGGAATATATTACATTTTAGTCGTAGCTCAATTAACAAGAAGATTTTATTTCACTTTAAAAGAGCTTTTAGGATTTATTATATGATGGAGTCACGTATTTGTGAGTTACATTCTTATTATCACGGTCCTATATGAACAATTAGATACGTTCAGAATTTATAGTTTTACTGTTTTAAAATCTTTTCCTATCTCTTTATAAGTTTAACCGAAAAAAGAAAAGTAAAAAGAATAATTGTTAACGATATGTTTATATATTTAATATTTTAAAAGTGTATACAAAGGTTTACAGCCAAAAAACAGGTATAGACATTTGAATAATATTATCGAATAATGAGAATCTTAGGAAAAAGAAAGATGGAACACTAATCATTTTCGTTTATTTCTTTTAATTAAACTCATTTTTCTGATTAAAAAGATTCTTTTCATTTAAAATTGATAAAAAAAAATGAGTTAATTTTCCATTGATATCAACTCATAATGGAAAAATATATGATAATAAAAGTAAATGAAAGAACGAGAAGAGGGTAATGCTGGTATAAGGCACTTTTATTGTTTGTTCTGATCACGTTCTACAAGTGATAATTTTAATCTTTTGGTACTTTGATGAATATCTTCGTTGAAAAAAATTGATTATTTATTTATTGATACTGCATAAACAAGATTGATTGATAATAATCAAATAAAAAAAACTTGTCAGCGCAACCCCTATGTGGTTACAATGTGAAACTTACATACCTATACAGCTTTATGAAAGGTCTTATCATATTGAAGCTACAATATATATGTATTTTTTATTTATAAGTATCGGAAATTGAATGAAGTTTCATAAACTTCCTCATTAACCTGAGACAAGAAAGACTTGTCAGCGTAACTGCTATCCGAGTTAAAATGTGGAAAGCGCATGCAATCGCTCTGCGAGTCACAGAACGGATTTTGCAGATATGGAAATCTCTTTACAAATCAAGAATAGCTGAAATACAATGC